CTCCTTCAAAATTTTTCCAGTGAGAGATCTCTGCTAATTGACCTACAAAAAATTCTGAATGATTTATTTATAAAAGTAAAATTTTAAGTTATAAAAGTGCTGTTAATTCTATTTGGCTAAAAATATATGTGATGGTCATTTCCAAGGCAAGAGGAAGGTGGGTTCTCAGTTCAGGAGTGATCGCCCTTGATGTGCAGGAAAGTAAGTCTTTTGGTTACACCGTTACATTAGTAGGAACCCTTGCCTTTGACGAATATGGGCGCCCTGTCCTCATTATCAAGGACCAGGAACGTCAGACTTGTCTTATGGGACTTGAGGCCCTCAAGTTTCATATAATGACAGCAAAGGCTGTAGCAAATATAATGAGAACATCACTTGGACCAAATGGCCTGGACGAGATTTTGGTAGACAAGGATGGAGATGTGGCTGTTTGCAATGATGGTGCCACCATTTTAAGCATGATGAATGTTGACCATCAGATTGCCAAGTTGATCGTTGAGCTCTTCCAAGTGCCACGATGATGGGATTGGAGATGGGACCACAGGCGAGGTTGTCTTGGCTGGTGCCTTACTGGAAGAAGCCGAGCAGTTGCTCAGCTGGGGCATTCATACCATCAGAATCACCGATGGCTATGATCAGGATGCCCACATTGCCATTAAGCACCTGGACAAGATCAGTGCCAGTGTCTTTGTGAGCACAAAGAAAACCGAATCACTCTTTCAGATGGCAAAAACTATGTAGGGCTCCAAAGTGGTTAACAGATGCCATCGACAAATGTCCAAGATCTCTGTTGATGTGGTCCTCATGGTGGCTGACATGGAGCAAAAAGATGTGGACTTTGAGCTCATCAAAGTGGAAGGCCAAGTGGGTGGGGGGCTGGAGGACACAAAGCTTATTAAGGGCGTGATCATGAATAAGGATTTCAGTCACCCACAGATGCCTAAGAAAGTGAAAAATATCAAGATTGCCCTTCTCACTTATCCATTCGAACCACCTAAGCCAAAGACAAAGCACAAGCTGGATGTGATCTCGGTGGAGGACTACAAAGCCCTTCAGAAGTATGAGAAGGAGAAGTTTCAAGAAATGATTCAGAATATTAAAAACACTGGTGCTAACCTCGCTATTTGCCAATGGGGCTTTGACGACCAAGCAAATTATCTACTTCATCAGAACAGCCTGCGTGTACTTCTCTGGGTGGGAGGCACTGAGATTGAGTTGACTGCCATCGTGATAGGAGGTCACATTTTCACTTGGTTCCTAGAGCTCGCCACAGAGAAGCTGGGCTTTTCTGGTCTGGTGCAGGAGGACTCATTTGGTAATACAAAGGACAAGATGCTGGTCATCAAGCAGTGCAAGAACTCCAGGGCCCATAGAGCAGTGCAAGAACTCCAGGGCTGTCACTGTTTTCACTCAAGGGAGGGAATAAGATGATCATTGAGGAAGCAAAACAATCCCTTCAAGATTCATTGTGTGTCATCTGGAACCTCACCCGGGAGAGCAATGTGGTGTACAGTGGAGGCGCTGCAGAAATATCCTGTGTGCTGGCCATGAACCAGGAGGCAGACCAGTGCCCAACCTTGGAGCAGTATGCCATGTGCACATTAGCAGATGAGCTCAAGTTCATCTCCATGGCCCTGGACGAGAACAGCGGAATGAACCCCATCCAGACCTTGACCGAGGTCCACAGAAGGCAGGTGAAGGAGGCCAACCCCATGCTCAGCATCGACTGTCTGCACAAGGGCACAAACGACATAAAGCAACATGTCATAGAAACTTTGACTGGCAAACAGCAACGGAGCACTCTCACTATGCAAATATTTAGAATGACTTTGAAGATTGACGACATCCATAAGCCTGGAGAATGTGAAGAGTGAAGAGAATTTTAGAGTAAGATGCAGTAGCGAGATCCACTACTTGATTAAATGGATGGGTGTCTTGTAGTGCGTTGACAGTTATTTATTGTTATGCCCTTTTTTTGACGCTATCAATGCTGTGTTAAAAATAGCTGTTTGGTAATTGTGGTTTCACTTGTTCAGAGTTATGTAATTGTAGGGATACTCTTCAACAGGCTTTTCAATTCATTAAAGCAATCTCTTTAAGCCTTTAAAAATTATATATATATGCATCCTGCTTTTATAAATGAATTTATCATATGTACTTTCATTCTTGTGTCTGTCTGTCTAATGTGTAAATGACTATTTCACTTGATTTTACTAAATTTTTCTTTTTGCATTTTTGGATTTTTAAAGTTTGTCTGATATGCTTCCACTGGTTTCCAGCTGGTCAAGATGATGTAAAAATTGATTCTATAAATGTAATAAGTATTGTTGTTTATTTTTATTTTTTGTATCATAATTTCAGAGTTTCTCATTGTACAAAAAATAATGTATTAGGTGTTATGATCTAGTTTTCATAAATTCATTACATTTCATTGAACAAAAATCTCTGAGGCTGGAGAGAAACTGCTGGACAGAACTCCAAATGATGAATAAAAAAGCAACTGCCAAGAATCATTATCCAGATCTTGCTCATTAATATGAAGCTGCAATGACTACCATAGCTTCATGGAAGACACTCCAATAAATGTTATAGAAATATTAAAAAAGAAATTAGAGAAACCATACTCTTCATAATAGCATCCAAAAGGTGAAACACTTAGAAATTAATATAAGAAAAAAAGTAAAGGATCTACAAAATGAAAACTATAATACTCTGAATACAGAGATCAAAGAGGATTTCAGAAAATGAAAAGATATTCCTTGCTCATGGAAAGGAAGAAGCAACATTGTGTAAATATCTATGCTCTGAAAATTGATATACAGTTTTAATGGAATCCCAATAAAAATGAAATCAATGTACCTCACAGAGCTAGAGAAAACTTTCTTATAATTTATTTGGAATGAAAAAACACCTATAGTAGCAAAGTCAATGATGGGCAACAAATGCAAGGCAGGAGGTTTACACTCCCTACCTTGAAATTATACTACTAAGTTTCTGTGATAAAATCAGCATGGAACTGGAAAAAAAACAAAAGACTTCAGGATCAAAGGAATAGATTAGAAGATGCAGATGTTGACTTCCATATGGTGGCCAGGCCCACTGTGTGTGTGTGCCCACTTGCCTGATCCCCGGATCCACTTCCAGAAAGTGCCCAGTCTGGCATATATGTAGGAATCCCCCACTGGAACCTAATCCAAGAGACAGTCTTGGTGTGGAAGCCTGTGGCAGAACTCCCTGCAGCAAGTCTAGAGGTGAGACCCACCCAGTTAATCCAGGAGCTGAACATCTTGCCTGAGGGGCACAGCAGGTTCACTTCTATGGGCTGGATGAGTTTGAACTTGGTAGATCTGGACTTGTAAGCTGAGACACTTTGCAAGACCCAGATCTATGAGAGCATACTCTCTCTAGATGGGAAAACAGGTAACCAGGCTGAACTAGTCTGCCTTGGAAGACTACAGGTACATCAGAGAGATGATCAGAGGGAACTAAGGGGAACTAATTTAAATACAAATGCCCAACTTACAGTCTCCTCAGCTATATAGTCATAATGTTTACTTTTATAGTAAAAAATAAAATCGCATTAGTTACAAAAGATTCTCAGCTGCTAAATTTCAGTATCCTTCATTACTGTTGCTAATTGTAGTATTGTAAAAACAAAACTGTAACTATCTTAATCTCTCTTCAGTAAGAATATCAGTAGGTACTAAGGTAAAAACTGCACCACAGCTCTACACCAAAGATCAGAGGACAGTGCTATACAAAATGACAAGGAGGAGGAAAAAAATGCATTCATATACCCAAAGCCAAACCAGAAAAAATGCAGGAAACAATAGCATAGAAGAAATCACACACCTGAAATTTCTGAAATAATAGCGTCCAAAGTAAAGAAACAACTACAGAGAGGTATAGAGGAAATCAGATCAGAAAAAATATCTGAAGAAAAAAAATGGTCTTTATGATGAAAGGATCACTAAGTGCTTCAAAAGAACACACCTGTAAAAATACAGGAGAATATAAGAATGAAGGAATCCTTGAATGAACAATGTAAGAAAGGAATAGAATGCATGAATCAGATTCAAAGAGATATACATGAAATGAAGACCTCAATCACATGTTGGCAAAAACAATTTGAATTAAAGTGAAGACAAACATTTCATCCTTCAAGACTCCATTGCAGACAGAAAAAAGGTAAGAAAATATCTCTTAAAGCAACTAGGGTGCAGGAAAAAAATAATTCAACATCTTCAAGACGGTGCAAAAATGAACAATGTAACTATAATAGTCATCAATGAGAAAGGAGTCAATATAAAAGTATATGGGCAGAAGTTCTAGCAGAAAACTTCGCATATATAGGTAAACAACCTGACATTCACAAAACTAAAGCATTTAGAACTGAAAATAACATCAACCCAATTAGAAACACACCCAGACATGTAATAACCAAGATCCCAGAAATCTAGCACAAGAACAGTATGCTAAAAGCTGCTAGAGACAAGAAACGGATCACATTTAAAGGAAAGCCCATGAGAATAATGGCAGAGATCTCTTTAAAAACCATCAAGTAAAGAATAGCATGATGAAAGTGATGATATAGAGTGTGCCTAAGGAGAGTCACATGGGGAGAAGACACTCTCTCAGGATTTCACAGAGAGCACATAGGCCAAGCAATGGCTGTAACACATTCACATGGCTGACACTGACAAAGGATGCATAATCTGAGGTACAGGATCTCAGGTTAAATCCTGAGGGGATTTCACTGACCTTATCAGACCCAAAAGCTACAACTCTTGTTGCTTAGGTTTTGCTTTATCTTGGTCTTAATCATCTAGCAGAAAAGTATAAAAATGAAGTATAAGAAGTAAAGACATGCTATTATTTTGAGCTGTAGGGGACTCAGGTCAAGAATTTCTGACAGTGCCAGTGAAGTGGAAGAGCCAATAGTATTATTATTTTTTTGTTTTTTTTATGGATATGACTTTAATTATCTTTGTAGGTCCATTTATTTATTTTTTCAACAAATAATACACTGCATATATTCTTCTTAGTGGTTAATTGCTGTACAAGATGTGGACTTGTGATCCTATTTACAAACACCATTAGAACAAATCATTCTATTCATTAACAGAACGTAACTATATATCTATCCCAACCAC